CGTCAACTTTAAAACGCTGTAACAAAAAAGTATTATTGCTAAAGCAGTTCCCTGTCAATTATTTATTGTCAAATCGAGGCTAGCCACTAAGACGTCACTACACTCTACTATTGATGAAAAGAACACGTGAAGCTACCAAAAAAAAAAAAAGAAAAAAGTTTATTGAAACTAATCGTAACCCAAATGAACAAGTTTTCTTTTTAATTAAAGTTCTCGTGATTAAAAAAAATAAATTTGAATACAATTTTCCATGTTTTGTAAATATAATTAATCTATGCTCATTATATGAGAGAAACCAATGGAACCCAAAGGAAAGAAAATCTTGTAGTGGAAGGCATAGGAAAATATTACTGAAATGAAGAAAAAGTAAATCGGGCCCAGATAGTGTGAGGTATATGATCTTTGAAAAAGAAAATATTCTAGGAAGTTATATAAACACTTAACCAAGTAAGTAAGTGTGGTCTGGTAACTTAATCCTAAGGACCGGATCTACTGGACACTGGCAGTGTGGCCTAGACGAAATGGACGGTTTCCAAATTGGATAGCTATGACAGACAGACAGTGACCAAGACGACTACGAGGGCCACGACGGAGTGGCCAAGACAAAGCGTTCGGCTACGACTGACAGAGAAAGACACGTTTGAATTAAGGTGAGGCTAAGTTCTAAAGACATGTGTAAGGGAGACATAAACGTGGTCAACATCAAATTAAACCAGTGAGAGTGCGTCCCAGAGGACTCTTCCTGTAACGACCGCTGTCCAAATGGCCGGTAACGCCGCTGGCCCAACTGGCCGGTAATGCTCGTGTGTCCAAATGGCCTGTAATGATCATGTGTCTCACTGGTCGGTAATGCTCGTGTGTCCAAATGGCCTGTAATGATCATGTGTCTCACTGGTCGGTAATGCTCGTGTGTCCAAATGGCCTGTAATGATCATGTGTCTCACTGGTCGGTAATGCTCGTGTGTCCAAATGGCCTGTAATGATCATGTGTCTCACTGGTCGGTAATGCTCGTGTGTCCAAATGGCCTGTAATGATCATGTGTCTCACTGGTCGGTAATGCTCGTGTGTCTAACGGGCCTGTAATGATCATGTGTCTCACTGGTCGGTAATGCTCGTGTGTCTAACTGGCCTGTAATGATCATGTGTCTCACTGGTCGGTAATGCTCGTGTGTCTAACTGGCCTGTAATGATCATGTGTCTCACTGGTCGGTAATGCTCGTGTATCTAACTGGCCTTTAATGATCATGTGTCTCACTGGCCTGTAATGCTCGTGTGTCTAACGGGCCAGTCGTTAGTAAAATTTAAACCGTAAAGGAAGAGCCAAAAAGGGGACGAAATAAAAATCTGTCAACGTTATCATACGAAATATTGCACCAGACACAACTCCAGGACCTGCCTCATCATACACTAACGGCAATGACAATAAGTGGACACAGGTTCCTATGATGTAACTGGACGGTTCCCGACCATGTGTTCCATTTTTTTTTTTAGTCAAAGAAAGAACGAAGTGTCTACATGTCCGGCGCGCCAGGCAAATAGTGTTGGAGATAGACGTCGTGCGGGCATGTCACTTGACCGCCGGACGACAATTGGGAGAAAGTCTTCCAGCGGGCACGTGACCGCACCGCCGGACGACTAGTGGAAGATATTATTTCGGCGGTAGACATCTCATGTGACAAGTGGTTGCCAGCAAAATAGTTGCGTTGCATTTGATATTCCGACATAGATTAGTCAGCCGATCCCTAGATAATGAATAAATGCTGAACATGGTAATATATTCATATATTGACTTATGTATCTGAGACACATAAAGTGTTTGAATTTGAATATTAAATTAGTCAGCCTATATACTAACTAGTAGTACTATTACAACTACTACTACTACTATTACTAGTCTATCTGATTCCGACTCTTCAAAGAAAAAAGTCCCTTATCTTGCTTAAACATCTTGTAAAGCTCTAGCTTGAAGTCTAAATTTAAAATATGAACCAAATAAAATAAGACCAGTAGAATTCAATAGATCTATGTCAATAAATTTGCATTTCAGGATTAGTATTTAGTACCACTATATCCACCCTATATTAAGATGTAGGCTAGGCTACCACTAGATCGGCCCTATATTAAGATGTAGGCTAGGCTACCACTATATCGGCCTTATATTGTGATGGAGGCTAGGCTACCACTATATCCACCCTATATTAAGATGTAGGCTAGGCTACCACTATATCGGCCCTATATTAAGATGTAGGCTAGGCTACCACTATATCGGCCCTATATTAAGATGTAGGCTAGGCTACCACGATGTAGGCTAGGCTACCACTCTATCGGCCCTATATTAAGATGTAGGCTAGGCTACCACTCTATCGGCCCTATATTAAGATGTAGGCTAGGCTACCACTCTATCGGCCCTATATTAAGATGTAGGCTAGGCTACCACTATATCGGCCCTATATTAAGATGTAGGCTAGGCTACCTCTATATCGGCCCTATATTAAGATATAGGGTCTATTTCTTTGTGAACTATCGGCCTACCCGCCTTAAACGTAATTATTTATCACCATCACTATTATTTTTTTAGCATTCGTATTTTTTTCATTATTGTAATTATCTCTCTCTCTCTCTCAGAATTGTCTCCTTCCAGCATGCATTATTGCTCAACACACACTTTGTTTTGGTAATATACCCAAGTATTTTGTTTCTATTATTTCTTTGCAACTCAGTAAATTACTAGGTAGAGAAATAGATTTTAAATTTTGAAACAGTTTTGAATCATTCGAGGTCACGTGACGAGGCTGGCGGACGAATATCACGTGCCACTTTGTTACGGCGGTCATTTGACTTGAACGCCGGACGAATATCTCGAAGATGTATTCTTCCAGCGGTCACGTGACGTGGTCGCCGGACAGATAGTGTGGGAGATATATGTCCGGACGTGTAGACACTGCCAAGAAAGAAATGCAAGAAATAGCAGAGAAAGGCCTTGTCATATGATATCCTTTTTAAATTTAAAGAATATTCTTTTATTTCGAATTATTTGTTGACGAATCCAAAGATGTGTGATTCAATCACCACTCACCACATCGATGTGCTATTCAATCACCACTCACCACATCGATGTGCTATTCAATCACCACTCACCACATCGATGTGCTATTTAATCACCACTCACCACATCGATGTGCTATTCAATCACCACTCACCACATCGATGTGCTATTTAATCACCACTCACCACATCGATGTGCTATTCAATCACCACTCACCACATCGATGTGCTATTCAATCACCACTCACCACAAAGATGTGCTATTTAATCACCACTCACCACATCGATGTGCTATTCAATCACCACTCACCACAAAGATGTGCTATTCAATCACCACTCACCACATCGATGTGCTATTCAATCACCACTCACCACAAAGATGTGCTATTTAATCACCACTCACCACATCGATGTGCTATTCAATCACCACTCACCACAAAGATGTGCTATTCAATCACCACTCACCACATCGATGTGCTATTCAATCACCACTCACCACATCGATGTGCTATTCAATCACCACTCACCACAAAGATGTGCTATTCAATCACCACTCACCACATCGATGTGCTATTCAATCACCACTCACCACATCGATGTGCTATTCAATCACCACTCACCACAAAGATGTGCTATTCAATCACCACTCACCACATCGATGTGCTATTCAATCACCACTCACCACATCGATGTGCTATTCAATCACCACTCACCACATCGATGTGCTATTTAATCACCACTCACCACATCGATGTGCTATTCAATCACCACTCACCACAAAGATGTGCTATTTAATCACCACTCACCACATCGATGTGCTATTCAATCACCACTCACCACAAAGATGTGCTATTCAATCACCACTCACCACAAAGATGTGCTATTCAATCACCACTCACCACATCGATGTGCTAGTAAATCACCACTAACCATAGAGCTGTGTTTTTTAATCACTCCTCGCATGACGCACGAAGACTTATTTAAAACAGTTTCAAAGACATCTCAATAAGTGTTTAAAATGTTTGACATTTTGAAATAGATCGATGTAATGATGCAAGAGCAAAAGCAAATCACTCCTCCTTCTTGGCACGAGAGTAGTCAGTATGTGCCAGATCAAAAATATATATATATATATTATTACAGGTTCTTAGCTAATTACAATGGGGGAAGGGGGTTCCCGCATCTCTTCAAAATCAGCGTCTAGTCAAAGCCATAATGTTTTTTCTTAAAGACGTGTTTTCATATTTAAACATTTAGATACTGATTATTCAAATAATTCCAAATAATTAGACGCACAGATATGCAATTCTAAATAATTAGGAGTACAAGATAAAATGTAGATCTAATTCTATTTAATTCTAGCGATGCACACCGTCCTCGCTCCTAGCGGATAAATATTGATTTCATTCTTTGAAATATGTCGACATTCTGTAGAAGACTCCAATCGATGAGTCAATTACAATTACAAACACTGGATGTTTTTTATCTGATCTAAACATTATTGTGAACAGGCCACGGCTTTTTTTATTTGCATTTTATATAAAGATTTATGGTTTATCATGTAAGACTTAAAATTAAATACTCTCCAGACAAGTCGGTTAAACATATTTCATATGTTGGTCTGATTATATGTACACAAAAGTTTCCACAATAGGACAAAAGTAAACACATATCATTTTATAGAACGTATTTGCAGTTAGTCACTTCTGAAATTATTTTTCACTTGAAATTCAGACTCGAAGATTTAAAAAAAAAAAAATTAGTCTCCCAAAATACAAATTCAATAAAGAGAAATAAGATGTGTTGTGACTTTTAAATTTCCCTTGAACAATGCCTGTCTCAAAAAGTCTAACATTTGAATTTGCTAAAAATTCAAATTAACGTACGTAGCTAAACACCCGACGAAGTAAACATGTCTTCATTAAACACCACAGACGATTGGTCAGTGAGATTGAACCCACTGGTCAGTTATGTGACTTATGATAATGTCTTGATGGTCTGCCTCCTTTTCCTCGGGGAAATCTTCGCTATATTCGGTATCGCCGCCAACATCATCAACATCGCGGTGTTCGTGAGACAAGGCCTCAGCGAGACGATCAACATCAGCTTCGCCTCCCTGTCGGCCAGCAACATTGGGGCTCTGGTCACTTTTCAGTGGTACAGCGTCTGCGTGAACCCGTGGTTCCTGCGGGCGGACATCCCGTTCCTGCCCATGGACATTCAGACCCTCACCGCGGGTTACCCTCACAACTATTTCTCCCGCGTCGCCGGGTTCATCACGGCCTTCGTGGCGTTCGAACGCTACCTGTGTGTGGTGGTGCCGCTGAAAGTCAGAAGGATCATCACGAAGAGGTTGACGATCGTCTTCAACATCGGCGTGTACGTCGTCATGGTGATGAACTCCTTCCCCGTGTACTACGTCTCCCGGTTCGACTGGAAGTTTGAACCCATCGCGAACAAATCTCTGTACGGTCTCATCTACGCACCGAACAGACACAACGTGATGCGTGTCTCCTACTTCATCACTGATTTCATCGTACCGTTCTCCGCCTTCTTTGTCGTCATTTTCTGCACGATCAACTTGGGCGTTACTCTCAAAACCAAAGCCGTATGGAGAAAATCTGTTTCGAGACCAGTTTCAACTTCCGGAGATGACATGGGGACGAAAGAGCAAAAAGTTGTCTTAATGATTACGACGGTGTCTGTCCTATTCATTGTTTCATTTTTACCGCTGTCGCTCTTGCTGGTGGCGCGCGCGGTAGTTCCAGATTTAGGTTTTGGTGGGAAAGACTTGAACCTGGCTGTGCTGCTCGCGTCTGTTGCGTTATTGATGGAGACCGTCAATGCCAGTGTGAGTAGTTTGGTGTACTTCAAGATGAGCACCAAGTTCAGGGTCACGCTGCTGGCCATCTTCGGACTACGGCGAAATTTTGAGCTTGCAAGTTAGAAAAGGAAGGACGGCATTTTTAAAGGAATTATTACTAGAGGAAATGGAATTTTTTTGTTAGTTTAACTTATATTGCTTATTGGGTATTGATAAAGTTAGGCATATCTATCATTGTTGGCCTTCCTGCTGTCATCGTATCATATATGACTAATCCTCTGCCTTCAATGCTCACAGCTGCATGTTGACCTACTTGTCCAATAATTCCAAAAATAACATTTCAATTAATCTCACGGAATGGTAAATAGTTTTATGGATATTACAATAAAGGAATGGTAGTGTTTACATTACTAGGGCTCCACAGGGTGCAGATTTTAGACCGTGTCCGGGTATTTAAGAAAATACCCTGTTGGTCCATGGTTTACAAAAAAAAAAGAGTTAACTTCTCATTGTAACTATACTATAAGCCGGCCTTTAAACAATAGGACTACGGACAGTCCCACAGACAGTCCTTAAAAAAGTCCCACAGACTGTCCTTAAAAAAAGTCCTACAGACATTCTTGCACCATACCCGTGGCTCTTAATTGATTATGTACTAGTCGACTACCTCTAATGAAAAAAAACATTTTTACCGGAATTCAGGCTCTGCGTGACATCCTTTTTTCACCCAGAACTCTTCATATGAAAAGAGTGGCGTTAGTTGGGGACCAGTAGTGAAAGGAAAACAGGACACACCAGAAGCTAAATATATAAATATTAAGAGAATTTTTTTTGTGGTTGAAATTTTAAAAAAAATAATAATTTAGGAATCCTAGGATTATTCAATTCATGAGTTTATTACACACCTTTTGATTATTCCTTCTCATGTTCATTAATGTTGTTATAGGCGAAGTTGAATAGTACTGGGGAATAAAAATCCTAGGAATGGTAACATTTCGAACAGCTTTGGTTTGATTTCAAATAAAAATTACGGAAACTCAGGTTTATTCCATTCATTTGTTTATTGACAAGCATCACTATGATGCTGGTAAACATTGTCACTGACGAACTCAAAATATTCTAGAACCTTAGTCATGTGATATCGACACAAATGTAAAGAGAGAGAATGACGAAATCTTTAGAAATATTAAATACACACTATTATTTATGTTAACTTCGTATGATTAGGCATTGGGTGGATGGCCGAATGGTCTAAACTGAGCACACCTCAAGTTGGTGGTCTGGAGTTCAATTCAAGCCAAAGGCCAGTCAAGCAAAAACAGCATGAGCTCAATATGAGCTGCTTCGATTGAAGCGCAATAACTGGAGATGACAGGGCGAAGAGCTCAATAAACGGAGTGAGACCGCTGAGCGAATGGTTGCAAGAGAAATAAGAGCACAAAAAAATTGTTGTCACAATGATTGTATACATGGAAGGTTGTGGTGTTGAGATGAACCTCTCAGAGGCGCACATTTGGCAGTGGCGTAACTCAAATGGGGCGGACTGTTAGGATCAGTTCTTAGATACATTTTTCTGGTTTATTCGTCTTCAAAAACCTTCTTTTTATTATTGAACTTTACGGGAGTTGCGTAGTTTACAAATAAAAAAAGAATAAAAGAATAAAAGCTGTCTTCACATATGGACAGCATACTGGCGATGGTTTTCGACCTTCCACAGGCCTATGATAGAGTGGTTCGGAATTAATTACTGTGAAGTTGAATAATGCTGGGATTCCTGGCAAGCGGTATTGGTCGTTAAAACTCTTCCAGGCTAATCGTACTATCTAACTACAAATCAATAATGCCATCTCATCGAAGTGTGCCGCGTAGAAGTGTTTCCACAAGTTTTACCGCTTGAGTGTCCTGGAAGAAGGTCTTCCACAACGTTTAGCACTTGAGTGTCCTGGAAGAAGGTATTCCACAACGTTTAGCACTTGAGTGTCCTGGAAGAAGGTCTTCCACAACGTTTAGCACTTGAGTGTCCTGGAAGAAGGTCTTCCACAACGTTTAGCACTTGAATGTCCTGGAAGAAGGTCTTCCACAACGTTTAGCACTTGAGTGTCCTGGTAGATGGTATTCCACAAGGTTAACTCCCAGTGTGTCTTTGAATAAGGTTTTCCACAAGACTGCTATGTGCAAGACATCTTTGTGAAAGACTAATATGTGGAAGACTACTGGTGAAACAAGGGTTCGCTAAAGAGATCAAGCAGGGCACAAAGAGAGGAGGGAGAAGAATAGGAAGACAGAGAAAAAGATGGTAAGATAACATCACAGAGTGGACAGGATTAACACTGAGCGATGCTGTGCGACGTGCAGAAGACAGAGTGGAATGGAGGAGGATAGTTCCCATGTCATCTGTGGCGCCCCAACGGTCCACGGACTAAGGGATATGATGATGATGATGACTGGTGAAATCGTTCCTATCTAAAGCCGAAAGGGACAAGGTGACTATTTTTATGGATGCCTCATATCGTTTCACGACAAATCGTTGACCATTAAAAAATAATTCCATTGGGTTCATCAAAAAACAAACCAAAACAGGTGATAACTCTTAACTAGTATCACTTAAACCATTGTTTTCAAATGGTCTCAAATCTAATGGTCCCAAATCTAATGGTCTAAAATCTAATGGTCTCAAATCTAATGGCCAAATGACATAGTCATGGTAATAGAATCATACATCTGTGCTACTTGACGTTGTACGTATAGACATAGACCTGTAGCCGTACGGATATTTGATTGATTTCTTTGTCGTATTAGTTGACACAACCTAACTTGAAATAAATGTCTACTTAAAAATGTCCACTTCTCTGTAAAACATGTGGACATTTAGCAATTGTCCGAAAGTTTTATTTTTCTTGAGATGGCGCCCTGGTATCACCTCCCTTTCATGGTGTCACCGGGCACGGCCTGCCCCACTGACACCCCCATAGTGACCTCATTAAGATCGGTTGATCACCAGCTTAGCTAGTATTTCGAGAATCGTTGTTCCTATATGATGATGCTGGTATTGTATTTGTTTATTCCTGCTATACAGGGTTGGCCAATACAAGTGAGAACATTTCGTAAAATGAGATTTAATCACATCACATTTAGTTAAACCAGGCGCAAAAGTAAACGGTGAATATTATTGTGAACAAGTTCTCAGAAGAGGATTGTTGCCTGACATTCAAGCGAAATGTGGTCGCCATAACTGGACAATGCAGCAAGACGGAGCCCCATCTCACACAGCCCAAACTACAATCAACTTTCTTCGTCAGGAGAATATTAACTTCATCGAGCCAGACATGTTGCCACCGAGCAGCCCAGATTTAAACCCCGTAGATTATGCCACATGGGGTTCTTTGCACGAAAAAATCTACCTTCGGCGAAAATTTACCACAGTTGAGGAGCTCAAGTTGGCAATAATCGAGGAATGGCGAAATCTAGGGCAACGTTTTATTGACGGAAGCTTAAACGCGTGGCGTCGACGCTTGGAAAAAGTCGTTGAGAAGCAAAGAGGACACACTGAACAGGATTTCTGATTAGCTAAATATTTTGCACAAAAAAAAAATTCCATAAAGAATTATAATTGATTAAATTCTATTTTGAAATAACTGATATGCTACGAGATGTTCTTACTTTTATTGGTCTGTCCTGTAGTACATACGCTTCACCTGTGCTGATGTGCGAGACGATAGCAATGGTACAGTGGAACCCCGCCTTCACCTGTGCTGATGTGCGAGACGATAGCAATGGTACAGTGGAACCCCGCCTTCACCTGTGCTGATGTTCGAGACGATAGCAATGGTACAGTGGAACCCCGCCTTCACCTGTGCTGATGTGCGAGACGATAGCAATCGTACAGTGGAACCCCGCCTTCACCTGTGCTGATGTGCGAGACGATCGCAATGGTACAAGCAATGGTACAGTGGAACCCCGCCTTCACCTGTGCTGATGTGCGAGACGATAGCAATGGTACAGTGGAACCCCGCCTTCACCTGTGCTGATGTGCGAGACGATAGCAATGGTACAGTGGAACCCCGCTATAACGCGAATTCGGATATAACACGGTCGTAGCATGGCTCCCGAAATGTGAAATTCATTTACTCCATCAGGCCTAAGTTCTTTGAAAATTTTATCCATTGCTTGGAAAGCCATATTTTTAAAGCGAAAAAAATCACAACTTTTCCAAATATCGTAGAAAATGAGCCCTTAAGCGCACCACGTTCAAACTGGTATCAAAATTAATGCCAAAAACGAGGCTTTCTTCCGGTAGAACTATAAATAGCATTACGTAAGGGATTTCAGCTGTGCTAAGAACGAAAGTAAACCGCGCATTAACACAACCCCGTTTCAACGCGATCCCATTTGATGGACCCCGATCATCGCGTTATAGCGGGGTTCCACTGTATCTGAATGTGCAAAAGGAATGTGGGTCGCGGCTCTGATATAAAGATGATGTCTATAGATAATATATAGATGACATCTCTGATATATAGATGATGTCTCTGAAATACAGATGACGTCTCTGATATTTATATGGATGATGTATCTAATGTATAGATGACGTCTCTGATATAGATGACGTCTAAAATATATAGATGACCTCTCTGGTATATCATAGACGTCTCTGATATATAGATACTGTCTCTGACATATATATATGATGTCTCTGATATATAGATGATGTCAATGATATATAGATAACGTCTCTAACATATATATATATATATATATATATATATATATGACATATATGGTATATAGATGACGTCTCTGATATATAGATGGCGTCTCTGGTATGTAGATGACGTCTCTGATATGTAGATAACGCCTCTGATATATATGATGACGCCTCTGGTATATAGATGACCTTGTCGACAATACTGTGGTCCCAGAATCTTAGTTTTCATTGATCTCAAGCGTGAACACACTCGGAGAGCGGACAGGTAAATACTCGATCACGGTAAAATAATAGATCTTTTAAGAATATGAAATCACTTATTGATTACACTGAAATCCATTAGCTGGTGAGAAACAAACCCAATCAATTCAAGCTTTGTGTAAAAATTTCGAGAGGCCGGACCACGTGATGCGATATA